TTTTTTTTTGCTGTAATTCTAATTTGAAGGTACCAACACATGGGATAGATTTGAACTCCGAGTTCACAAGCGAGTGATTGACCTGTTCAGCTCCCCTGATGTGGTTAAGCAGATTACTTCTATTACTATTGAACCCGGTGTCGAGGTTGAGGTCACCATTGCCGATTCTTAAGAGTTCCCATCCACATTTCTATCTTTTGTTCACATTTTGTCATGATGCCGTGGGTGAAGCTTGGAAATTGATTTTCAATGTCTCCAGCTAATGGGCTCAAAGTCTTGTGGCAAAATTGTCATAGGAGTTTTTCTATTATATGCTTTTGGGTTGAAATACTGATTTGAGAGAGGGAAGCTTGGTTATTTTTTCATTTACCTTTTAACATGTTTGAATGCACTTGTTTTCAAGATCTCGTCATTATATTGCGTACAAAACACGCATGTCATATGCGCGGTTAAAAAATTTGAGAATGCTTAATGCGTTTGTTTCAACTTCGTAAGAACCAAGAATTTTTTGGACTTGGAGAATTTTAGTTAATTTTTTGAGGATATAGCAGCAGTATTCTCTTAAAACTCACGAGGGTGATGCTATATTACTATCTAGGTGGCATTAATTGAGATGTCATTTTAGCGTGACCTTGTGTATTTACATGCCATAAATTAGAATAATGCTATTTGTTCTTGGTGGGGATCATTTTCATCTGGCGCGGTGAAATGAAAAGATCAATTAAGCTTATGTTTGGTAGAAATTCAAATTTGAATCTGAGTTAAAGTTATCACTTAATTTTAATTACACATCTCATTAATTTTTATTAAAATTTACTAAAATTTTGATTTTAATTCTCACTAAATTTGGGCTGATATAAGATTCACTTTTACGCAATTAATTTTTATTAGATATAATCACAAAATGGTATGATATTAAATGATAGGATCACTAAAGTAGGATTCGTAATTGATTTTATAGTGTGTTTAATTGACTTTATTTTTTATGAAAAATATTATTTTTTTCACTCAAATTCATACTTTTGGAGTGTTTGATTGATAAATTTTTTTTTTCAATTTTTGGTTATGTGATCATATTTTCCTAAAAAACAAGGAAAATATTTTTTTAGTGAGGAGTTTTTATTTTATAGGTAATTCAATAACTCTATCTCATCTATCACTTCTCTATTATTTATCCACCAATAAAAAAGGACAATTATAATATTTTATATGTTCAAGGCTAAATTAATCAAATACATTTAATTAATACTTTCATATAAATAAGTTTAGACAATTGAATTGCTTAAAATTAATTTTCTTTCCATTCTCGTAATCAAATGCACTCTTATTGTTTAATTTTTTAACAAAACAATAAAATTACTCTTCTCATAAATATAGCAACAACAACAGTATGAAAAGATATTAATGTAGAGTTAAAACATCAACTGAGGTAGAAAAAATCAGATTCACTAAGAACATCCAAAAGATCAAGAACACCAAGAAATCGATCATTTATAGATATATGGCTCAGAATATAAACATTGTACACATTTGTACAATATTGAAACAGCCA